TAAAATGCGACATGGAACTGCTTGACCTGGTTGTGCATTGAGCAATACCAAAGAGCTAATGAAGAAAAGTGCTATAAAGGCGAAGACGGATAAAATAGACCATCGAGCAATAATCAAATTGCTAAGATTTCGTCGTCGAACATTTGATGAACTGCTACAATATCGATCGATCGAAGCTAGTACAATAAAATATGGTAATACTACGGTAGATACTTGTTGAATATAAAAGATAACTTTACACCATAATTGAGAATTACTCGTTGGATCTAGTTGATAACCAAATGACAAAAGATTAAACGTGAAAAGAAAGCTTGAGAAGAACAGATTGTTGCTAGCAAGTGCGAGAAAATAACGAGAACATGGATGATTGTACAGTCCAGGTCTTCTGAGCACAGCGATATTGAGCAAATTTCCAATGATTCCGATCACCATACCTGGAGGTAAGACTACTCGCATGAGTAGAGAAACAAGTTCAATGAGTGGATTCACCATTGGATTCTTTCTATTGAGTTGATCCTAAGAATACGAAACGTTTCTTATTACAAGATATATCTTAGTTCCATATGTTGTTTTTTATCGAATCCGTTCGTAAAGTCAACCTACAAATATTTTTCCTAGAAAAAAAAGTTATTCTCATTCAGTCATTGAAAGCGATAGGATTACATAAACTAATCATAGCATTTCACAAGAATCTTACAATTTCTGTCTCATATAGTAATAAAAAGAAAGAGCGAAACGATTATTATTTCATATATATCTAATGTTCGATCTCATATAGATTGATAATTTGCAAAACTAAGTATGAAATCTATGTTAATCACAAATCATCGATCAATTTAGAGTTTTAGTTAATCGATGCTTACTTTTTGTAGTATGGTTTGTGACTCAAAGCTTTAAAAACTAATAAAGACATATTAGTGCTAATGAGGATCTGATTGAACACCAAATTCATTCTACCTTTAAGCGTGAAAGCATGTATGGTATTGTAACATATGAAATAATATTCTATTACATATCCTACCGTGCAATCGCTCTTTATGCTAGAGTGTATTTTACTATGTGTTTTGTAAAAAAACCAGTCGCTCTCTCAGTCTTTCAATTTAGAAAAATACAGCAGTTTCTCGTCACTTGAATATTTAACAAAAAAAAATATTCGAAACCAGATTCGCTCTTGGGCAATTCCGAAAATCTGCTTCCGAGTTTCGCTGGCTAAATATTTTTCAATAATAACATCCTGACGTTTTTCAAAACTCAATGACTGATAGAGCAAACAGTTCTCTATATAACCTACGTTTAAATATTACTCTGCCATAAAGAAAGAATTATACAGTGCAACATTTTTCTGTCGAACTCAAACACATTCTTTTCTATCCCTAAAGAGTTCTATTCAAGCACGTCAAAAACAGTTTGTCGTGATAATTTTTTTTAATTTCTAAACGACAGTTACTTCTTAATGGAAGCTGTCATTTGCAAAATGAGTATATTTATATGTCAAAAACTTCAAGAGTACCCTGTAATGCCTGAGAATAAATTTGTCAAAAACATTTTTACATTTTCTCTTGACGTACAAGATTGAATTTTTTTATTAGATATACATATAATCAAAATCTTTAATTTTTCAAAGTTTCAGCTCTTTAGCTAAAACTGATGTTGAAATGCATGAACAAGATTAACAGACATGAATTGTTGTAATAGACTTTTGTAATATTTTTAGTATGTATTCAATCAAGATAAAGCGATTAAGATTTGTTTTAACTATTTACAAATGCATTTATATCTAAAGTCTATTAGATTTAATCATAACTTTTATCTTAAATGTCCATCAATTCCGATAACAGAAAAGATCATAAATGGTTTGTATTGAATTTAAACCATGTCCAAACAACACGAAGTATTGCCAGCATAGTTCGTAGCAAAATACTTTAACAAACGTATAGAATCAGTCAAGAGTGATACCAAATCTGTTGATGTATAAAGAACTGAGAATGTGTAGGATGCACTGAGGGAAATAACTCGCGGAAAAGTGTTTGATCCATTATTATAATTAAAAAATTTTCGAAAGAAAAATATGTAAAAATGATAGATGAAATATCTTATTAATTACAATGGATCATAGAAAGCCATGTAGAACATGTTCATACATATGGAGTTTTTCCATCAGATGCCTTTATTCATGTGTATTTTTAGTAGACGTGCTCATTTTAAATGAGTGAGTCATTAATAATGATAAACAAGTTTGATTGTTAATTGCTTCGGTTATGTACAGACTTTGCAGTAGTTGATTGAAGAAGAACAACAAGATAAAATATCTCATACATATTTTGATCGAATAGGCTGATATGTTTATTAATGATAATGCACGACTCTTAGCTTAGATTCGTCAGAAGAATGTTAACGAATGTTCCTATGAAGTAATATAACTGTCTACTAACATTCCACAATTGATGAAAAAATACAACATATCATGACACTCAATATTGATCTTAAACCTACTGTAAAAATACATGCAGATTTCGTCATGAAATACTGCATATTTGTTTGATTTCTAACAGGAAAACATGTTTCAAATATTCTTTTAATTATAAAAGTGAGTAAAACTGTGCTGAAACATTGTTCAAAACGCTTTTCTAGTTTAAAATCACATAATAAACAGTATTTCACTGCAAAATTTGCATTTATTTTTATATGAAGTGTACGATCAATTTTAAGCGTCACTATGTGTGGGTGTGGGGTTGGTGGATATGGATGTGGATGTGACTTTGGATGTTGATCTTCTCTTCACCTACACCCACACTCATTTGTTGGTATTCGCCAAGATTGTAATTTTCTTGATTTCCATTTGTGTTCGTGAAGGAAGCAGCAGGATTTATGTAATTTATTATAAAAAGAATTAAATATTAAATAAACTGGCCTAACGTCTGAATAGACTAGATTCCTCGTTTTCAAGAGCATACAACTAAATTTATCTTCGTGAGACGAAAACCTGCTAAGAGTATTCGTTTGGATTTTTCTTAGACGAGTTTATGACAAATGAAAAAAACAATAAAAATTGTATAAACAACTACATATATAAAGCGAGGAAGAAACCTGTTTTTACTCAGTATTTCTCAACAAGATGTGCTTATTTATTTTTGAAAGAAAAGAAGAAGTCTTCTTCTTTCTAACTACGAGTGACTTTTTATAGGTCAACTGATTAGTGATTATTTTCGATGGAGAAAAAGAACAATTTTATCGCTAGGCTATTTTTCAAATAAATTAAATGTTCTGTACACAATGATGAGAATTTCAAAATGTTCATTTTATCTTTCGACATTTCTTCTATGAAATAAGTAAACATAAGATGTTTGGACGAAAGGAATTCATATTCTGAAAATGTTGCATTTGATATCGAATACACACTTATATAGGAGAGAAAGAAAAAGAGAGAAAAGTTATAAATGATAATGCAGCGGTCACTACACTTGCTAGTGGGCAAAAGATCAGGTGATGCATCCGATCTGAAGGCTTCAATTATTGGTATAGATATTATTTATACTTTGTTTTTTTTTCTGTTTACTCTGCATACTGTGAGTTCATAGATCAAAATCGTCAAACTTTACTTTATTATTAAGGAAACTTTTTCCATTGACTTCAATATGGAAGAAACAAAACTAGAAGGAGAGAAAGAGTCATATATTTGTTATTGTTACATTTACTAGATATACTGTTTTGTCTTTTTTTTAACAACAATAGTCGATTTAAATAGGTTAGTTTAAATAAAAGATCTTCTCATCTTTCTCTTTTTGAAAATTTAAATATTTTTTTCTTGTTTTTATTTCATTAAGAGATTCTGTTACTCACTCAGAACATCTTTCTAATGAAATCATTGATGAAATATTCGAGTTTTTGGATTTTGTTCAAATTTATGAAATATTTTCAAATCTTAATAGACGATTTCAAAATCTTATTGTTAACTCAAATCAATCGATAAAAATAAAACTTTCATTAATATCAAAATCAATATTTAAACGTTTTTATACACAAATTATCATGCCTAATAAACATCAAATTAAATCATGTGATTTATCAAATCCATTTATAATCGATCATATTTTTTTTGATCAACTTCCATTCTATCAGAATTTATTCAACTTGAAAATCTTGTTATTCATGTGATATTAAATCAGATTATCTTAATGAATTTCTTATTCATATAGTTTCTTTACCAAATCTATCTTCGTTGGTCATTAATTGTATAGACAATGTTAAAAATCAAAACAATATTCATCTTCAAATATTTCGTTTATCCGCATTAAATATATTGTAAATTATCATTGAGTGAACTGCTTAATGTTGTTCCACTACCTATTTCAATTAATGAATTTAGTCCTATTGAATATCTTATTATTACAAATATTTTACAAATTGATAAATTGAATGGTCTTTTATCATATGTTCCTTAACTTCATCGTTTATCGATTCATTTTTCAAATCAATTTTTTGAGAAATACAAAGAACAATATTCAATTCATTTGAAACATTTAAAACATGTTGAGATTTAAATATAAACAACATGAATTTCAATAATTTTGAATTAATAATAAATATTTTATTTAATCAAATTGAAGTTTTATATATTTTATCAGAATATGATTCAACATATTTAGATGGAAATCGATGGTAACGACTGATTTTATTTCATTTGTGTCATTTACGAATCTTTGATATTATGATTTTATATGCTGCAGACTGGAATGAAAATATTTACGATTATACTCATCTACTCGATCGATTTCAGTTTCGATTTTGGTTTGATCGACGTTGGTTTTTCGAGTATCAAATTTATTATAATTGTCTTGAGCGTTTTATCTTTTATTCAACAAAACCATGTAGGTGCTAATAATAAGATTTGTGTGCTTGAATTTTTATTTTTTATTTTTTAGAAGAAACTGGTACACAATCTATGATGCAAGTAACATTTAAAAGTATTCATTACGCCCAAAACATAGAATAAATTTAGTTCAATTTGTTAAAATTGATGAATACGAAGACATAATTAATTGTAAATATGATTTTCCAAATGTAACTAAACTTACTGTATTCTACTGTTTTGAAAAACAAAATCAAAACTTTCTCTTAACAAGTTTTAAACAATATTATTCTATTGGAACAACTTACGCAATTAATTATTGAGAGCTACTCTAGTAGTTTTATAGAAATAATTGAACTATTACTTTTATCATCTAATATTCATATCTTCCAAATTGATCTTCTATCATTTATGTATTCAGATTTAATATCAATTGAAAATAGCGAAACATATCAATTATTATCCAAAATAAATAATATTAAGCAAATGATTATTATGTTAGACTGTACATCTACCGATTTTATCATTTTTTATTCTCGAAAGATAATTATAATACACAAAATTTATTTTCATTATGTATCAAATATATGTCTGATGAAGAATTTGATATATTAAAGAGCTTTATTGAATTAGAAAAACTATTCGATGTCTGTTTAACGAGAGTAAAACGTGATATATACAATGATAAAGTGTATTTATGCTGGTAAAATTTATTGTTAATGAAGTTTTTTGTTCTAAAATATTTGTCATTTTTTAATAAATATGAAAGCTAATATTTTGTACCATTTTTGATAAGCTATTTTTCTCGATGATAATCTTTTTTTTTTTTTATTGCTAATCGAAAATTTGATTGAATACTTTGAAAAAACCTTTCACACGATTTTCTTTGGAAGAATGTGCTATGTCTTAAAATTTTTGTTTTTGATTTTTTCTAAATAAATTTTAGTAAAATCTTTTCATTTTTTTGAAGATTAATTAAACCTTCATGAGAATCTAATGCATCGTTATTACTTTTCAATTCAATATTCAGCATTTAATTATGTTCTTACAGCTCTAATTAATCGTAAGGAAACCGTTCGAATTATTGAAATATTGAACAATAGACTTTCGTAAGAGCAGCGGAATGTTTTCAAATCAGATAAGGCTCAGTGTAAGGTTATTGGTTATTCTAGAAAACTTTTACATATTACTTTGACATAGAATAAAATAAGTTCAGGTAATAAGTCGTTTTAGATTATTTACTTACTTCTTGATAATTAAGATTCATTTCAGATAATTCTTTTTTTATAACAGAATATGAATACTTTTTCGTCAAAAGATATTTAACAACCCGTTCGATATCATCAGATATTTTATTACGAGGCATTCGTTTATCTAAAATATAAATATCGTGAAAGCATCTTCAGTATTAGGCAGATAAACTAATATGAGAACGATTAGATCTGACTTATTTAGTAATGAGGAAAAACTGCATGCAAATTGTTTCAAAATAAAGTGAACAACCTGTATATAGTTATCCATCAAAGTATGGTTGACAATGAAGACGATTTGCAGTATTTGCCATAGTAAAAGGTCATGAAGTTAATGAGAAGAGAAAAATAACGAAGTATTTTTTCAAGATCATGCAGAAATAACTCGAGCACTCTATTGGATGTTCCATTACGATAGATTGTAGCGTTTGGCGACAAAAGAAAGATTGAGTAAAAGAAAATAATATGAGATCGAAAACTTTATTTTGTCGTATTACAATTATCATAGCTTTAAAATATTGCAGTTTTATTATGTAAAACTTCGATCGGTTTTCATTTGGAATCGTTGAAACGATTGGTTGTTTCGTTTCTGAAGGATCTTCATATTTTGTGACTCATTTCTACTCATTGAGAAATTTCGCAATTACAATCATCTATATGCATTCGTCTTATATAGTCTGCATTTTTTTCTTTTTGAAAGAGCAGTTGTTTGATGATCGAATTTTCCTTGTTCAACGTGTGTATTGAATGGGATATAAATGATGTTGATTCAGAGTCAACTTTTGATTGGTTGCCGAATGATTATATTCTTGATTCTTTGTAGATCAATTGCATTTCAAATACATTACTTTTTTATCTTCATTTATGAGCGACAGTCAAACGAAAAGCAAAGCAAACGACTGCGAAATCACATCTTCTTTAGAGTATGTATTGTTTCTTACATATTCTTACTTGATTTGTGGACAAAGAACGAGAGTATTTGTGCGTACTATATTTGATAATTTCCTAAGAAAAGGAGGGTGCGGGTAGCGGTGTGATTGCTTACTTCTTCGACACCCACACCCTCATTATAGTCACGTCACGAGCAGGTTAATTTTCGAAAGACTCACGTATTGAATCATTGATATTTATTTTTAGGAATGACACTCACCAGAATGCGAGCACAGACGTCCTTTCGCAGAAACATCATGAGATCAAACCATCTTTGCCACGAGACAAAGCCACCCTAAATCGCTTGACAGAAGTAGTCGAGCATTTCGATCAGATGAACTTACGAGAACCACTTTTACGTAGTATCTACGGCTATGGTCTCGAACGTCCTTCGGATGTTCAACAACGTGCTCTGAGTCCGTGTATTTCCGGTTCGTTTTCTGTTATTTCTCTAAAACTGAAATATATTCAATAAATATTCATTCTTCTTAAAGGTTATGATGTAATTGTGCAAGCACAATCAGGTACAGGCAAAACGATAACCTCCATCATTGCAGTTTTACAACAACTCAACGTGGACTGCAAAGACTGTCAAGCATTAATTCTGGTACCAACGCGTGAACTGTCTCAAGGAGTATTATTTTCTCTGAAGTGTAATCTTTGTTTCTTATCAACTTCTTGATTCTGTTTGTAATTTAGATCCATAGAGTAGTTTTAACACTAGGTGAACATATAAATGTGACATGTCATGCTTGTATTGGTGGTATGAATCTTCGCGAGGATATGAAACGTCTCGAAGCAGGTGTCCAAGTTGTTGTTAGTACACCTGGTCGAGCCTATGATATGTTGAAAAGATCAGCACTTCGTACGTGATTTATGTCTTGCATGTATCGCATTTTATCCTCCTTCACATCGTAGATAGTGAAAATATCAAAATGTTCGTATTAGATGAAGCTGATGAGATTTTATCTCGTGGTTTCAAAGAGCAAATTTATGACCTATTTACAATGATGCCTCCAAATATTCAGGTCATTCTTCTATCAGTTACGATGCCCTATGATTTACTCGAAATCACAACTAAATTTATTAATAACCCTGTGAAAATTCTTATCAAAAAAGAAGAACGAACACTTGAAGGTATTCGTCAATTTTATGTGAATGTCGAACGTGAGGTAGATAGACATACTTCTCATTCTATGATGATGAACTGATGCAGAATTGTTTTCATCCAGGAACGAAAATTAGATACGGTATATGAATTGTTCGATACATTAACGATTACACAAACTGTTATCTTTTGAAATACATGCCGAAAGGTCGATTGGTTAACTGAAAAACTACGTACGCGTAATTCAACTGTGTCTGCTCTGGTCAGTTTTACGATGATAATTTTAAAATAACTAATTGTAAAGTCATACATTGAGATATGAATTGGTTTTTTTTCATTGTAGCATATTAATATGGATGTAAAACAACGTAATGATGCCATACAAGAATTTCGAACCGGTTCTACTCGAATCTTAGTAAGAACAGATATGCTTGGGGGTGATACTGAGATTCCACAAGTTGGTCTTGTTATCAATTATGATCTACCGACTAATCGTGATAGCTATATCCACCGGTAAGAATCAATAATGTCGCGAGGAAATGAATTTTGTTTTTTTTTGGTTAAGTATTGGACGTAGTGGTGCATTCGGTCGAAAAGATATGGCTATCAATTTCATTACCAATGATGAACGACAACCATTACGTGACATTGAACATTATTATAATACACAAATAGAAGAACTGCCCATGAACATTGCTGATTTGATTTAACGGAGAGACTTTTTTATGCTTACTTTCTGATTTAGATCTGAAATAAAGATGACTAACATTAGTATACATCATTATAATCAAGAAATAGTTTAGTTAACAATCATTTTCGTTTTTTTTTTGTTTGTTAAGTCATCTTTTTATGGTTTTTACTAGGTTACATTCGTCAGACAGAACATAAATCGTTTATTTAACATATTAGACATATCTCTGACAACTGAACTATCCCAATAGCATCAATGATAGTATAAACGGGATAGTGTGACTCTGTGTATTATTACCATATCACATTCTAATCGGCAAAAGTTTTTGCCTGTTGAAAATTGAGTAACTTACATAGGAATTCTGGAAGAATACACTACAAAGCTTAACGAGTGCACCTAGTGATGCTTGACTTGACTTTGATGCTGTCCGCTAATCACCGATTGCTTTCTTTAATTGCTCTAAAGCAATCTGCAGAGTGGCTCTCTCATTATCCAGCCTTCGTAATGCACGTTTGAATCGCGAAACTTCCATAAAATCATCGAAGTAGCTCACGGACCTGTGAGTTTCAAGTGCCATCATCTCCACACTTTAAAAAACAGGTGTTTTACCGAACCCTAAAAAATCTTTTCCGAGGTGTACAAAATTTAAAAACTCTTTTTTTTAGGTTCTATACACCTCGGAGAACATTTTTGGGAGATTCGGTAAAACATATTTGTTAGACTGCATCAATGCAATGAGAAGACATTATAGACACGTCGTCACAAGACTTCCTTTGTCACGGATGTAATTTGCTGTATCAAGCGGATTTCTTATAGAGCTTTGCAAACATCTGATTCTATATAGGAAAAAATCCAAATTTTCATTCAAGTGAAAGAATATATATCTTACTGAGCAAAAACGAATAGCGTGAAATATCACGGTCCAAAACCAGCATAAAATTTTTGTTTCTTTTTTTTCTTTTCGGTACCATTTTCGTTATATTACTCATATGATGCTGTCGACCAACGGTATATTTCGATGAAATATCTAGTATGATCGACCTATTAACCATCATTTATCGAGAGTACATTCAGATGATATGCGTGAGGTGATTCCAGCAAGTACTAACTCTGTTGCTCGACAAACAAATCTTTTCACTAATATATCGCCTGCACAATAATTATAAGAACAGCAACCATTTAATACATTCAAAAGTTACAATAATATCAGAGTTTCTTTGATTAGGATCCTTCTAGACCTTCACTAATTCTGATTATTTTAGTTTCTGAGTTATATGCGACTATTGTGGTTTAAATTCATATGTGACAAAAAAATAAACTCAGAATTTTATGAAAATTCCAGAGTCTTAGAATAGGCACACGTCTATAGTAATTACATAAAATATGTTACTCTCTGGAAAAAAAACTAACCTACATATTAAAAGAAGGATAGAATAGAAAATAGAGAGACGCAAAATAGTGCTAGCAAGAGTAAGAAAATAGGCAACATAGAGGAAGTACGTATTTCGAGAGAAAGAAAAAGATAGTCACTTGTTTTATTCTTTAATTTTCCATTAGCATCTTCATAAATATTCAGCATGCCAATCGCTTTAGTCGTACATGAGCAGAAAAAACTTGTTGTCGAAGAACTTCCTGTGAGTTAAAGTTTTGTTTGTCAAATGAATGGGAAATGATTTGTTCGTTATTTATCTAGTTGCCTAAATACGGATCTAAAGAACTCCTAATTAAAGTCACTCATGTTGCACAGAATCCGGCAGACTGGAAACATGCTCACTTTGGTCTTGCCAAACCTGGATCTATTGTTGGTTGTGATTTTAGTGGTATAGTTGTCAAAGTAGGCAAAGAGGCTGTTGGTAAGTATATAAATATGCTTTCTTATTATTATTCAAAGATTTTATCGACAGACTTCTGGAGAATAAGACTTTTGAAAGAAAATTTTTTTAGAATTTGTTTCATTGATTAGAATTAGATTTTCTATTAATTGCACTGTACTCTCAAAATATTTGAATTTTAAAGAGTGAAGATATTTCTTGCTACTTGAAATATTGTAAGATGATAATGGATTGTGCAAAAGTTTATAGATTCCTTCGCCTTTTAATAGACTACTTGAAATGAGCGTTGAAGATATCCTGTTTATATTCTATCATATGTCAGTGAAGAGTGACACTTTCTATTTCCTTTTGAAAAAAAAAGGTTATAGAGTTGGATGTATGTCAAATATGAAAAACTTTTGTGCGTAGATAATTAATTTATGAAATTAAATTCTGAAACTCAATGCTTTATGTACTTCAACCATTTTCCTTTTTTTTACGTGATATATCTTGTCTCGTTTCCGTAGTGCTTGTATCAGACTATTTTTCATCTTCTAGTCTTCTCTTTATTTGTCTTACGTTACATTCTCTTTCGATTCTTTTCTCACAACTTTTAATTTTTTCTCTATATCATCGTTTCCTGATTCTAAATCTGTTTCAAATTAATCTGGATGAATAAGAAATCTAATCTTATCGTATATTCTTGATAGGAAAACATTATCAATGATATTCTCTATATCTTATCATTATTAACAGTTTATGACGAAGATAAACCTTAATTATATACTTATAAGATCTCTTTTTTTTTCTTTTCTTCTTGATTCAAGTCAAGGGTTGCATGAATGTCGGATACATGTAGAAACTGTTCTTTTTGTTTGATCGATTCTCCGACAAAAATTGATGATCATTTAAAATATGCTAGGGCACTAATCGAAAACTTAAATCGGATTATACTGTAACAAAATAGAGATTATATTTAATAAAAATTCAATCTTTCCCCGAAATTGAATCTATTGTTGTTTCCACTTAGACAAGTTTGTACCTGTTGGAATTAAAGATCGATCTGATACTATCTTCACAGTTTGCCATGACAAGAGTTCAATAAAAAGAATAGAAAATTGTACTTTCATGTTTGTTACGGCTGAATCCGACAGAAATAACAGAAATAGTTTAAAATCTATTGAAAATCTCTAAACCAAATTTCATAAGATTAATATTTTAATTAGATTGTGCCGGAAACAAATCATTTTTCTGTGAAAAAATTTAAATTAGTTTGTTATAATAATTAAAAATAAGATTCATTTTTGCCTGAATAATTATTACTACATAAGACCTTTTTGCAATCGCCTATAATACGTGTTACAAATATTAAATCTGATGAATTGTTAAAACACATGTTTCTATCGTGTCTGCTATTTTTCTTTTTAGGCAACTATAAAAAAGGTGAACGTGTAGCTGGTTGTGTTCATGGTGGTCTCGATCATGAATTTGGTATCCGCGGAGCTTTTTCTGAATATGTTGTACAAGAAGCATCACTTGTTTTTCGTTATCCTTCGACAATGTCTCCTGAAGCAGTTGTTACACTACCACTTGTCAGTATCACAGCAGCTCTGGGTATATTTCATGAAATGGGTCTACCATTACCGCCCGCAAAAATCGAAGCCAATTTTCTCGTTTGGGCAGGCAGTACAAGTGTCGGACAGTGTGCTATTCAATTAGCTAAATCAATTGATTGTTTTGTTATCACTACAGCATCATCCGCTCGTCATGATTATTTGAAAGGACTTGGTGCTGACGTTTGTTTTGACTACAAAGATCCATATGTTGTGTCGAAAATAAGACAAGCAGCCAAAGATCATTTGGCTTACGCTTTTGATTGTATATCAGAAAAGGAAGCAACCAGACAAGTCTGTGCTGCACTCACTGCCAGTAATTCGCAATTATGCACTGTTCTACCTTTTATAGCAAGTGAAATACCACCCCATATCAAAGAACACAGAGTTTTAATGTATACGATGTTTGGAAACGAAAGAAATCTCTTTGGTAAACATTACAAAGCCAAATCGGAAGATAAAAAATTTGCCGAGAAATTCTATAAATTAGTTTCAAATGTCTTGTTACCTGAAGGACTTCTGAAACCGAATAGAGTGACGAAAATACCAGGTGGATTGAATGGAGTGGAAGAAGGATTTAAACGAATGATGGAAAATAAGGTGGCCGCCGAAAAATTAGTCTATACAATAGCTGAAACTAATAGCCAGAATGACTGTCGTTGGATTTGCTGCCGTAAAATATGTTCAAAAGGCGCATCTTATTAACATCCAAAGTTAACAGAAACTAACTATCGATCATCGTACATTGAATTCAATGAATATCTTGTAAGCATTCACTAATGTAATGAATAAAAAGGTATATTCAGAAAAAATCAATGAATTTCTTTCAACATGAATTAATAATATCTTTTCTTAAAAATATACTCTCCTAGAATACATTACGTTTCAAAAATTTTTTACTCATATTGAATACACAGCGTGTTCGGAAAGCCACTTCCTATTTTGAATTCTTCATTACTCTCAAACAACAAAAGATATCGTAACAATTTTTTCATTGTTTTTAAGCATATGTCATGACATTTCGTTGTAAATAAAATAAGCCGATTGGTTATTTGACTGTCTGAGATCAAATACAAATTTCGTCTAGAGAATGTCTGAAAATAACTTATTATTTTGAGTAGCTTATTATTCTTATGCGACAATAAACTATAACAACTTTTCTACTGTTTTGAGGGTACGGATGTGGGATGTGGGTGTAGGTATGTGGGTTGGTGTGGGAGTGTATGTGGTGGTCAGTGTGGATGTGGGTACGGGTATGGATCTTCTCGTCAACAAAACTGACATCCACACTCCAAACTCACACTCACACCCAAATCAAAATGCCATTGCTACAAAAAGAGGATGAAAACCATGTGAACATGATATTTGATGCGATTAATTCACTGAGAAAAGTATATGTTCTTGTTATAATGAAAAACGCGATCGTCGTGTTAACAACAAACATATTCTTAAAATAACTAATTTAGCGCTTTCTTCATAAACGCACACCAGCTGTTTAAATAAATTTTGGGTGTATGTGTACAAAATACTTTAAAGGCATTGAAATTGCATGGTTTGAGCAGCGTTTTAAGTTTTTCTAGCCTGTTTAGGTGTGA